AATCCCTGCAGCTAGAAACATGAGCAGAATCAACCGTCCGTGGTTACCTTGGAAACAAGACTTTTTTTTCTCCTTTTTTTCTTTTTTTTTTACAACACACACGCGCGCGCGCACAAGGGGGTTCTTTGCACGGAGAAAATATTCAGTGGCAGAGCCGACAGGGAGTTTATTCATCGCGGGGGGCCGTCGAAATACATTAACAAAACGGACATGCACACCAAATATAAAGCCAAAAAGACATTTAGTCATGAGACTCATTGAGTGAACTAGTCAAACAGCCGTTTATCATTTTGCTTTAACTATTAATAGTCAATTATTTCAGTATTTTCTCCCAAGGGGATTCACATTGTGCGTTTATTTCTATTAATATCAACAATTGCTGCGATTGAAAAAGGTGCTTTGTAAATGAGGCCAGTATAAAATCACCCATCAGTGTTCTGAATTATAAATCACACAACACAGTGGTGTCTCTCTGTGTTGCAGTGGGCTGATAAATTAATCACAAGACTGAAGAAATCAACAGTCATCAGCTGCTGGCTGTGTGCTTCCAAAAAGAGCTCCTCTCAGATATGATTGGGTAAGTTTTGTTGTTTTTCGTTTCATAACTTAAGACAGGAGAATAATGTGAGTATTATGAGTATCTGGATGAATCAATCTTCACCCCTTATAACATTTTCCTGCAAGGAAACCATTTCAGACTAAGTTGTGTGTAATAGAAAACCTGGGTGTATTGTCAATAATTGACCAGACAGTAAAATAAGTGAACAGGGAAAAGCAGGGCTCGTGCAAATTCTACAATATTGTTCACATTAATAGGATTTTGAATTCAATATGTTCACTTGTCCTTGTTTCTGTTTGTTTGGTTGTCAAAAAAGTATACAAAATAGTTTAAGCATAACATGATTCTTGACCTTTAGAAACAGTAGCTTTACCATAAAAAGGTCAATTTCCACAACTTTCAATGACTATGTATTTTTTTGCAAATGTTATACTTCAATGTTTTTAATCTACAACACACAACAGTTTTTGCCAGAGATGTAGGAATATCTTCTCAAACCCTAAAAGTCTCCAGATATGGAAGTCCATGTCTTCTACTAAACAGTGACAAAACATAAAGAAACACATAAAAACACAATAATAATATGAAATTGCCATCATCACTATACCAACTCTCAAAATCAAGAAAAACACCCATAAAGGCAACACAACAATAAACAGCTTTAAAGGGAAATAAAATGTTTAGTATCTATAATCTATAAATGTGTCTAGAACAGAAAATGTATATATATATATTTATTCTGATGAAACTGAGGCTGATTGCTTCCAGGATTTTGCTTAAATGAGTCACAAAAAAAAACACTGCCTCCAAAACGCCAGCCACAGAGAAGACGAGTCCTTGTCACTGTCAAACCACTAACAGTAAAAATAATGGTGTTGAACAGAGCACCTAATGATTTCCCTCCCAGTCGCTGCGTGACTGCCACTGGCAGTTTGGAAACTCACCACTTATTGGATGGCCCTGACTCTTATTAAATGAGGTTATGAGGCCCTTCTCTTCCTCTCCTCCAGCCCTCTCGCCCACCACTCACACATCAATAGAGCTGGACCAATCTGCTCTGCAGCCATTATATAATAAGTTTGCTTGTTTGCTCCTCCAGTATTAAGACTCTCCAGCTCAGTGAGACCAACGCACAAAAATAAATGCAGGCATCTAGCACACAAAGATCACTGCAGGCTTTTAAACTTAAGTGTATTCCACAGAGGGATGCACACACACAAGGACACACACTTGATTTCACACTTTGAGTCGTCCGCCCACACAGAAGCAATACAGACTCATACACCGCCCACATAGTCCTCTGCAAGGCGACAAGAGGGACGTTGACGTGTGTGTGTGTGTGTGTGTGTGTGTGTGTGTGTGTGTGTGTGTGTGTGTGTGTGTGTGTGTTTTCAAACTGGTGTTGTTTAGATTAATGCTAAAATAATCATTAGTCATTCAGACAGTCATTACCAGTGGTTGGGAAACTTTTATGGCTAACACAATGTATCTACATTTTATCAGACAGTTGAAATATAACTAAAGACAACAATAAATAATATTGTTAGTTAAATAATTCAAATAGAGTGTAAAAAGAAATTTGTATATAAAGTTTTATACCTTTTATTGTTATATACTTTTTCCCCCCTTTATGACCAGTTGTCAAAATAGATTAAAACTCGAATTAAGGCTGCAGTAGCTCAGTCTGTAGGGAACCGGAGGGCAGCCAAGGTGATTAATAAATTATATCTTCTTCTTCTAAAATTAATTAAAAACCAACCAACTTCTTCTTTCTTTCTTTTTTGTGTTGGCACAAAAGTAATCATTTATTTATTTCTGCTTTTTCCATTTTCTTCACCAAATTCCAATTTTCCAAATGCTTCTATGATAATGACTTGGGCATGTGTGTGTGTGTGTCTGTCTGTGTGTGTGTGTGTGTGTGTGTGTGTGTGTGAGAGAGAGAGAGAGAGAGAGAGAGAGAGAGAGAGTGTGTGTGTGCAGTACATATATGTTACATCAATGGAGCAATGAAGAGGACTGTGTGGCTAACTGGCTTAACTCAAAATCCTGTTACCAAAACACATTGTGCATCAGTTTTCTCAGTTAGCTACCTAGCTGAAGCTCACTTTCTTTATAAAGCCAGTGCACTTAATGGTAGATATAGAAATATAGGTACCTCATTGGCCGCTGCTGTATTTCACCACTATATGTCTGCACAGTCGCCATATTTTAGGGGTCAGATTCCACTAGTCAACAATGCAGACTGCACTACAAAATCGACTCTAACTGTAACGATTTTCATGACACTTGGGTTGTTATAAACGTGAGAAACTGAATGTGATACTGATTACTTGTAGGGATTAATTCAATTACTAGGGGCAGATATAATTAGCTCTATGCCAAAAAATGTACCTTCTGAAAGCCCCAACTTCCACTGGAACATGCACCGATCTATGAAGAAGCAACATCCAGTGTAAATTATTTCGAATTTTAGCTTTTGTCAGTTTCTCTGAAAATGTAGATTTCTAGATCTATTATATTATTATAGAGCCACCTTGTTTTCATTCTTGATTGGCAAAGTGCTGTTCTGACTAGCTTTATAGTATATATGTAACTGTATATTTCGTCTCTTTGTACATCCACACACCGTATATGCCGGCAGCATTTTTCCATCAGGTGACTCTTGACTGTTTTTTGGCATGACCGAATTAATTCCTACCAATAACCAATATCAGGTTCATTGTCTCACATTTATAACGAACAACATTTCATGAAAATCAGTCCAGAATCAAGCGAGTTACAGTCGATTTTTGTCGTGCAGTGTGCATCTCTCAGTTTTGTTATCTAGCGGATCTTGACCTCCCCAATATGGCGACAATGCAGACAAACATCCAATCAAAAACACGGTATCTATGTGATCTATACATCCACTGGCTGTGCACTGCTGGAGCCGTTTAATGTATCCCGCTGTATATACTCCTATCAACACGCTAACATAACTTCATCTTTAAGAGAGGAGTGTGAGGCTATGTAGCTTAGCTAAAAACACACTAGTTAAACCCATTCTCAGCTAGTTACCTTATAAAGATAACTTTTCATTAAGCTGTCCTGCCTGTGAATGTTTATCATGTGCTGCACTGCTGTAGCGTCGCTGTATAAACGGTTGTAACAGCAGCTAAACCATTTTAGCATTTAAATTAACTTTAACCAGCCTTTTTGTACATTTTGTAAAGTGAACTGTCTGAGTGATTTTTAAAACCTTTTACCTCTCATTTTAAATTCAGATCATTAACTTTTTTTGTGATGTTGAGATGGTGATGACATTTTGATTTGGTTGCACTAAAAAGGCCTTCAAATATTAACATTAACATTTTCTTGAAGGTGATCAAACCTGCGGGCGTATCTTAATCGGGATTTGGAACACATTTATAACAAAGATAAAACAAGAATCACCCATGTATGAAATACAAAGTGTGAGCAAAGAACAGACAGCAGAGCTTGTCACACATGAACTCCTGCATGTTTTAGCGCTTAGCATGACAGCAGCGTGTTTGTCTGCAAACTGCGTGTCTTCAGCTCCTCATGTCGCTCTTGTCTGCCGCAAAGAGCCATTTTCAGAACACATTTGCTCTGACCTTACATGTCCAAGTTGAATGGTGTGAAGAAATGTACCATAAATGAGATGTGAGTATCATTTCAATGCATCAAGCAGCATTTTGCATAGCACTATTGTCCATATTTGTTGGATGCCTCTGTCATGTAGTCCAGTATCTGACTGAAGCGGGGAGCAAAACAGGTCATTGCCAGTGCTTTGACATAAACAGAGCTGATGAAGTCTTGGAAATGGATTGCCTCAATGAGTCATCTGCAGATGGATGCCTGCCTATCTGATGTGTTTCTCATGTAGTGTGAAGTCCTTACATAAATTATAGATGTGCGAGCCCCCTCGGTGCTCGCTCGCTTGCTTGTCCCGATGCCGAGCTAAAGTATTCATGCTGCAGAGAACACAAAGACTCTTCCAGCTTTGCTCCTGACATGCTGATAAGCCTTGTGTGGGGGGCTGCAGGCCTGATCAATACGGATCAATTTTTTGTTTCTCATTAGAGAGGGCTGTCAGCTCCAAATTAGTGTGATTCAGTAATTGAGACCGAGTCAGGGGAGAATTAGGATTTGATTTCCGGAAAACAGGCAGACATGTTATTACAGAGGGTTTAAACACACATACCATCAGGTCAGGTCAAGCAGAGGTACAATAAAGTATTATAAAGTCAATCTATCTAATAAAGTACCTATCTAAAAAAATCAACTATCTATCTAAATATCTATCTAAATATCTATCTATCTATCTATCTATCTATCTATCTATCTATCTATCTATCTATCTATCTATCTATCTATCTATCTATCTATCTACAACCAAAAAGAAGAAAAATTTCAAACAAAGTTACACATCACTTTAGGATGGTTGATTATTACATTTATTATAGATATTTATGAAACTTATACCATCTTTCTCTGTAGTTATTTTCCCTTTATTAGGACACATTTGTTAAAGCTTTCATATAAAGATAAAATAGATTCCTGGCTGAAGTGAAACTGTGGTTATGTAGTATTTCACCCCAAAGCTGAACCTTTATAGTTCCCCACTGAATGCAGTATTTATGTATATATTTATGTAATTGCATATAGTAACGAACTCAAAGGTGCAAGTGCATCCACAACAAAACACAAATAGGAGCCCCGCTTCCAACTTTCATCATTGCTCTCTCTCTTCCTCTCTTCGGATGAATAACATGGATATAAAGGATTAAATTGGTGGGTCAAGTCCCCCTCATGTGCACCATGAAAGGAGATCAAGCTGGGTTTTTGTTGCTAAGAATATGCAGCAGTAACGGCAAAGAGCATTTGAGCTGTTCTGATAAGAAGTAGGTCAATATGAGACCCAGAAAGATATGAAGAGTTTTGATCCGGAGTCAAACCTCCATTTATCCGTGGCGCCAAATCCCGCAAAGCTGCGGTACTCTTCAAAGAAAACAAAAGTCAGTAGTTGACAAATTGATGAGACATTTTCAGTTTGACAGATATTTTAGACATGTTGTAAGATTAACTGAGTTACTTTTTTCAATACATTTACAATACTGAAAACTCATGTGCACCTGCAAACCATCCTCTTTAGGAGTTGATTTAGCTCTTGCCATCTTCAAATTTGACTCTTTCCAGTTATAATATCTCTATAATATCTAGTCAAATAACCTGGAATATATAACATGGATTAATCAGGTTATGCGAAAAGAAAGGTACTAAATGGAAGTATAAAATAAAATAAATGTAACATTGCAGAGGAATGAGAAAAAACTACAAATCATGGCTCTTATTCCTCAGTGCTGTAGTGTATGTTCCCTGCTGAATGTGCCAAAAATGCAGATGTTTGTATTTCCCCTAATGTCACTTATTTGTAAAGCTATTACAGTAGTTGACAGGCAGTTAATTCATAAAGCATTTTGCAGAAGTTCAGACAACAGAAATCACTCAAGTGATCTAAGCTTAGCTGTTACTGTAAAGTATGGACAGAACAACAAGAGGAACCAATATGTACAGGAAGCAGCCCAGCAGCACCAGGGCGAGCAACAGGATGACAGTGATGGAGAGGCAGCGGGAGCGTAGTCGCATCAGTCTCAGTCCTCTGACAAGGCAGGCTGGGTAGAGGCAGCATATGTTTGTGTGTGTGCTAGCCTCCAGCCGCCTCTCCAGAGCTAAGCAGCATAGCGGTGATGCTGGGACGGCCTGAAGTTCGGGGCCAGGATTGATGACGAAGGCCAGCCCGGGCTCGTAAACGCCGCCGCTGTACGACTCCTCCTGCAGCCTCCTGATCTCCCACTGCGGGAACGGGGTGGTCTGTCGACAGAAGGGGCACTGCAGTCGGCCCGGGTTCTTGGCCCGCCTCATGATGCCGGCTGTACAGTGGTGGCACAGTGCGTGGTTGCAGTTGAGTAAGGTGATGCGGTGATCTCCATGCAAGTCGAACAGCTCGCTGCAGATGGGGCACTCGCGTCGGCTGCTGTCACTGCACAAACTCCTGACACTTCCACTGCAGCCGGGCTGATCCCTGCACGCCAATTCCAGCTCGTGTGGAACAGATGTCTTTCGGTCAGCCCCATCTGTCACCGTTCTTGTGTCTGCTTTGTGATTCTCATCCTGGCTGTCCTGGTGTTTGTGCTGAAGCAGAGGCTGTATGACTGAGTCTCTCTCATCTTCCTGCTTTTCCACTCGCCTCAGTGTGTATGAAACTCTGGCACAAGTCTCTTCTGTAGTTGGCAATTCTCCGAGTGTAACAACACCTTCCTCCTCCATTTCAAGGACTCCTGCCTCAGCCATTCTTCATAAAAAAAATATTTTTTCTGTCTGTTCGATACATTTAACACTACCCTAACACAAGCTCAGTATGTTTCCTCATGAGAGAAAGTCTACTTTCTTCCTGGACAAAGCTCAAGTGAGCCAACTGTTGATGTAATGCTTCTGTATAACAAAGGCAACAAAGTCCTGTCCCACCATGAACCCAGATAAGATAAGCACATTCACAGATAAGAAGTGCCATGCAATAATATGAGCCTGAGAGAAGTGCCACTGGCCAAGTAGTACAGTGAACATTTCACTATTCCGCTCAATTTAACACGCTAATGTATTCAGTGCAATGGAAAGCTTTTGCCATAAATGCATGAGCAAATGCATTAGAGCTGAGCAGACACATTTATTCTTCACATCCAAATGAACATTACATCTGTAGATTAGCCAGTTACAAAAATACATTTTCATTTTGAGAAGGAGCAGAAGAGCGGAGTTGATCTGATATTCACAAGAAGTATTGTGCTTTTTAACATCGCTGGTTATTTGCTTTGAAATGTATCTTCTCTCTTCTATGATCATCTGACAACGGAAATTAAAAAGTAATTCCAAGCAGTCCCAGGAAATCCGCCCCATCACCGCAGGCAAGTGAAGATTATCGCTTTTATAGGCCTAGTTTAGTCACATTTCCAAATGGGAACAGTAGCTTTAATAAAGTCTCACAGCATTGTAGTCATCAGTGATTAAATCAGCAATGAGTCGACAACATGCACCAGGAGTAAATAAACAAAAAGAAATGTGGAAACTGCATATTGCTGTTTTTCAACTATAGCAACATAGTATAGTAACAGGAAAGACTGACTTTAAATTAAGGTTTTCAATGCATAGTTGTGAATAAAACAAAAACAAAAACAAATAACAGCATTAATGAAAAATAAATAAAATAAAATATATAAATCTCAGCATCTGGAAACATTTTAAGTAGTAGTATCATCATCATCATCATCATCATCATCTGTCATAATCAAAGGACAGCTTCATCTTTTGTCTCCATCTGTGCCACATTATCTAACTGACATATGACTGTGTGCACAGTTATGCTTGTTAAAGGATTTGCCTTTCTTTATGAGATCCTGTTTGTATGTTAACGCAGCTATAATCAGTGTTTTCTTATGATATCAGTGGATGACTAATCGAGCAGCAGACAGATAGAATTAGAGACAAGATGGTGGATTTAGTGGCACATTTAGCAGCTAAAGAGACAAATATTTCTCTTGGAATTTGGTGGAGAGCAAAAAAGAGCTAAAAGGATTAAGGATGAATATTGGACTTTCATTTATGAGGTGGACAGAAACACAACAATTATTGCTTACAAAGTCCCTACGTAACGGCTGGATGTGTGATAAAGCAACTGTTTAGGTACAAATGTGCTATATCAACTTAAACTGTCATAATAATGTCAGTATTATGTGCTCAACCTGTTTTCATCTGGACATAGTTAGCCTAGCTTAGCATGAAGACAGGAAGCAGGGGGAAACAGCTAGCTGTGTCTGTTGAAATTACTTCCACACCTTTGTAGTTTTGTAGGTTTAATCCATACATGAACACATTTAAACAAATGAAAAATGTGCGTGATGTAACTATTTTGTCACAAAGAACAGTTTACCTATCCGCGTTGCTTAACTATGTCTTTAGTCCTCGCTCTAACTCATACAAAGCATGTAGTTGTTACTACCCCAAATCCTCCATCTGATATGCAGTACTGGCTCGCACAGTAGCAGGAAATGTAGTCATATTTTTTAATCTGAGAATCTGGATGTGGACATAACTTCTCTACAAGCTAGGGACAGCGTAATGGTATTTAAAAGTCATGTCAGTTCCAGTCATACTATGACATAATTCAGAGATACGCCTCTGAATCACCCAAAAACTTGGTGAAGTGGTCCTTTAAGTTGTCATTGCACACTGCTGTGACTACAATATCACTATCAGCTGGCTGTTGAGTAACCCTAGATCTCCATCAGAATACAAACACACCTTCCATTATACCTGCAGCTGAGGCATTGCCAAGTTTGATTACACATTAGAGACTTAAACTTAGAGTGTGAAGGCCAGATTAATATTTTCTAACGCAGATGAAGTCAAAGTGAGAAACACAATGATACCAAATCATAGTATTGTGAGACATACTGCAGAAGAAGAAGCCTTTTTACTGAGCTCGAACTAGAGGCAGGCGGTTTATACTGAAAATCAGCTGAAACCATCGCTCAAGCACAAGACTGTTACTGGTTATATTATCACAGTGATTATTTTTCAGAGTAAAGAGATAATTGCAGCATTGCAACAAGGCAATTGCGGTGTTCTTAGTAGTGCTTGCTTTGAATATTAGCAGTGGTTCATCAAAATCTCACATTTATGGGCTAAATACATTCACTTAGTCATTCCAGTCCAAGCAGCTAACATGATAACAGTAGGGACTTGCGTACTTAAAGCTGGAAAGTCAGGTTTAACGAAAGGTTCGGGCTTTCAGATCAGCGCTAAGACCCTCCACAAGTCAGGTCTCCTTTCCTCTTTTAATTTATCATATGTGACAGATAAAATCAATGATGGACTCCCTCTGACCTCTGATTAATGTCAACCCTGATCTGACATCTTCTCCGCTGATCTCCCCTCCTTCACGGAGGTCAGAAGTCTAAAGTGTCACGCTGGTATTGCAGCCGGGGGCTGTTCTCGCTGTAGAACTGACTGAACCAGCGCCTGTGCTTCTGGATGGCTGAATCTTCCTTCACGAGGAGAGGCTTGGAGATGTACTTCTTATTGTTCCAAATCATCACGTCCCGCTCAAACTAGACACAAAAAGGAAACAGGAGATGGTCACTGGGTGAACTTGTGAATTATGATTTCAAAAAGCTGTAACAAAGACATATTAAAATAACAAACATGATCTATTATAGGTTGGTTTTACAGCTTCAAGTCCATTAGTTTTTATGTTCTGCACTTCCTCTATCCTCCTTTACTTCCCCTTATCAAACAGGTGGTGCAGTTGTAGAAAAGAAACAGACTTTCACTAGGATTAATAATTAAACAGTAACTAAAAGAATAATCTGTATTTTGTTCTGTCTTGTTGCTGTGAATTATTATCATCTGTCAGCAGGGATTTCTGTGTGAAGTGCTGCTAATTAAATGTCACTCCATCAGCTGCTGAGAGTTGGCATTTTAGTCCACATTCAAAGTGTCCTCTAAAACTGAGTATCCTCTAGTGGCTCTTTGTGTTAATACCACATGGAGAAACAAAATGGCACAATACTTGAATAAAATTATTTTAAAATAAGTCCCTTTCTGAACTTATCGTGTCTCAAAACTACTGTCTGTGTCAGACATTGTGCACCAAAGATCTGCATCAAGAACCTGCTCAGATTCATTATCATTTATACTTTATTCCTTATTAAGGTAATTCCTGATTTAAAGGTTTTGTAGAGGAACATATTTCTCAAACACAAGCATCCACTGATTCAGAAAGGATTACATTTGGCAGTTTTAGTGGGGACTCACCCATTACCATTAATAAAAAATACTTTTCTCCTTGTCTTGAGTGCCAACTTATTCATTTTTCCTTTTTGTTAAATCAGTGACTGTGTTTTTGCACTTCACCACACAGTTAATTATCAAGTTTAATGAGGATTATTTACACATTTTCTGTGACTGTGTGGTGTTACTTCTGGTGGCAGTGAGGAGGCAGAATTAAACCAAAGGCTGAGTGGGAGTGCAACTCTGAATTACAGAATACAGAATACATGTTTTTATTATTATTATTATTATTATTATTATTATTACATTTATTATCCATGAAATTTAGCCACGGTGTAAGTTTTGATGTATATTCCCCAGAATACCTCATAACATAGCAGCCTGCAGCTCCTGGAAACCAGGTTGATGAGTGCTAAGAATGAATCATACAGTAAATGGGCTGTAAAACTATAAGCTAAAAAAGGCTAAAAGGCTGCCAAAAGCTGCAGAATTGGTGATTGTTCTGTGGGGTTCATAGCAGGCCAACCATTTCAGAATACATACAGAAAATGGAGGTATCACAGTGATAGTAGAAGCGTGAACTGCACCTGAATGCACTCTGTCCTGAGGAAGAATTTGGGCACCATAGGTGGGATATTAGATTGGTAAAACATGATGTGAGAGACACACTGCAGCAGAGGTTCTACTGGAGTCACACACTGAATGATAAGCCCCCGGCCCAAGAAACTGTGGTTAAACAGCAGAAACACCACTCCTGGACCAATCTGAAACACAGACAAATATAAGAGAACTTGTAACCTGTATTCAAACTGAAAATATGTACAGTGATGTGCATAATCAAAACACTGATATACTTTAAAACAAAACACTGATATACTGATATAACATCAAGCCTGTTTTTTAGAAACTGTAATGCTTAAAAAGCAACAGTGTCTTGATCAGACCTGATGATGATTTATTAGAGAGCAGTGCATTTATATACATGGTTAAAGGACCCCTCCAGACAAAAATCTGTGTTTGTTCTGGTTCCTAGAGTGTGATGTTTAAATGATGTATGTGCAGTTTAGAAGGATGTTTTCACATTCATCTGCTGAAAGTGGAACGTTTCTCTGTGCTCATTGAAAATCAGATTTTTAAGGGGCAGGACCTACGAGCATGATTTGTGACATCACAAATAGTTTGGAAGTCAATCCTGGTCCAGTATGTAACTTATTTTTACATAAGTTAGTTATTGTTCCAAGCAGACTATTTGTATCTGTGTCTTAATACATGTCTGGAGGGGATCTTTAAGCCCAATACTTTAATGTATTTAATTTCATCCCATGCTTATCCCACAATAAGGCTGCTGACTGCCCACCCCCACCTGCATTAGAGTAACCATATCCTGGCTCTCCATGTTTGTGTTGGGTCTTATAGGATCCCACTCTCCCTGCAGGCCTCTGCCACTGGTTAAACTTGTGAGATGAGTGCTTTCAGGGTATACTTATTCATCATATATAATTCACCAGGCAAGATAAAAAAGCACAGACTGCATAGCGGTTGTTAATGTTCCAGATACAACTAAAGAATGTGATGTTTTTCTGCATCAGACAAACATTTTTACTGCTGGTTTTGTACTGTAAGAGAAATCCATGAAGCTGCCATGTCTTCAAAACAGCCAGTTGTGAATGTGGGACAGGCGTTTAATTCCTTTAGCACAAAACTAAACTAAACTAACTGGTGCTTCTCTTGAGATTTTGTTCAGCAAATTTGACAGCTAACATGATGATTATGATCGCTTCAGAGTTTTTTTTCCTTCTAACATGTAAGTCAGAATGAATTAACATTATACTTTGCTGTTGATTGTTTTCGTAAAATATAGTGAACGATTGAATTGTGGAGAATCTATAACTGATCTAATGATGTGCAGCATACATATTGACAGAAGTTTAAACATTTATATTTGTGTAGATGAGATTTGTGAGATTGAAACAATTTAAAACTTGCTCAAGTGCGCGACCCGGTAGGTTTTAAGAGGTTTTATACATCAAGATCATTTCTATAAAATCCAGACCAGGCCTCTATTGGAGACCTGCGTTTATATGTCAAAACGTGTAGTCACACCAGGCTTTTAAATGAGACCTGCGTCTATTAGGGACCCTGCTTTTATTGGAAGTTTTACGCTAATACAGTTCTGTGCTCCTGAATTGAGGTACAGTAGATATTTTTATGTAAAGCCTTATTAATGTGGGTGAAATCTAGTTTAACTTCAATGGGATTATTTATAAGATTATAGATTATGCTATCCATCTAATTTATTTTACAAATCAATCACAACAATTATGCACTCGTACTTTGAATTAGACTGTACCTGTCTGGCCACAACATGAACATCCAACATGGGCCAGTGGAGTCCAAACACAGTAAATGCATGTTTCACCAACATCTGGGAACAGTGCTTGTTGGGCTCTGCCTCTGGTTCCCATTGAACCTTGAATAAACACGCATACACACAGACAAAGTACAGTGGCATTCAAACACAGAAATACACTGTTAAATAAATATATTCTGCTAAGAGTGTGTTGAACAGGATTGTAAAAGCAACAACACATTTAGTGTGTTTTAGTTTATATAATCCCTACCTTCCAGTCATGCCGCAAAAATGCAAAGGTTTTGCTGTGGATGTAGCGCAGATCAATTCCGCTGACAAAGCTCGGCGTGTGCAGGTGAGCGATGTGAGCAACGTCTGCTGCATTTTCAGGAATCTCCTACAGGAAGGAGAGGTCACCATGACATGTGCTCATGACTGTTTGGTAACAAAAGCACCTTCTCTGCCTGTGGAGTGTGATACTGAATGTGCATACAGCTACAGAAAGTGGATTTTCTGAGGACTGAAAGTAGTGGTCGATCAATATGGGTTTATCAATAGCACATGCCAATATTTAGAAAGCAGGGCTGCCAATATATAATGCTGATATCAAAACAAAGACAAGTCATGTCTGAGTCTAATTTACAGGAAATTCAGGCATAACTCACAAAGGAGAGCGAGTTTGTTTATTAGCCTTATGAGCACAAACATTAGCCAATGCCACTCTGGGCACACACTGAAGGACAATGTTTCTTTATACTTAACAACTGCATTGATAATTTATGAAAATATACAAAGTAAAACCCCTAACAAATTCTTTTTTTGTCTTCAAACTAACTAAAACATCTCCATGCTGTGTACATAAAAACACATCCACACACACATGCACCTACCTGTATGTGAGCATTGATAAAGTGTTCAGTCCTGCCCCGATAGACCCACTCGCCCGTTGCAATTTCTGGCTGCTCTGGGACGGCCCACTGAGGATCTTCTCCATCACAGTGAAACCAAACCAGGATCTGGCTGTTGACCTCACAGCTGGGCCAGCTGCGCACCTTGGCAAACTCTGGTACTGAACGACAAATGAAACCCAAATCTGGATCATGCACTCTTTTAGTCAATATGTATAATGGGTACTATTTTATTTAGATAATCCACTGTTCACTCCTAGAAGTAGATATTCAGGTTGACTGTCTGTTCACATAATATTGACTTTGTGTAAGAAAACATTAGCTAATTATTAATTAAATTACAATTTATTACCTAGAAATTTTTCTGTTCCCTCTGGCGCCACCCTCTGGCCAAATTGTCAATTGTATTCACAAGCTGACAAACAGATTGGCACAAAGTATTTCCAGATTGGCTGAAAATATTCATGTTCCCAAGGGTAAGAATCTTGATATTTTCGCTGAACCCCTTAACCTTTCTGCCAGCACTCGGTTGGTCCAATTGTACACAACTAACATTAGCATCAATTGCACCAGCACTCCGGCCTCAGTGGGTAGAGCTGGTGACCCATGTACCAAGGCTGAGTCCTTGCTGCAGCAGCCCAGGGTTCGAATCCAACCTGCAGCCCCCTGCTGCGTGTCATCCTCTCTCTCTGCCCCCCTTTCCTGTCCATCAAGTAAAGGCAATAAAAGCCCCCAAAATACTTAACCAAAAAAAAATATCCTGTAGCACCACCCTTAGGACAAACTTTGCAATTTACTGATGGGGCTCTTAGAATAACATACATATCAATATCTTCCATTCAAAAGTTTCATACAATGGAATATTACAGCTTCGAGGGGCCACTAGCTTTAAACTTTTCTTTCTAGTCTTTTGTTATTAGAAACAATAGTGAACATACATTTTTTTAAGATAACAAATGTGTAACATCTTTCTTAATTGGAAATTATATTGTTGCTTTAAATTATACACTGAGAAATGGTAATACTGCAAGTTATTTCTTAGTTATCCATGTCACATTTTTGGCCCCCACCTTCAGTTCATACCTTTTTCTGCATAGGGGATCCTCACACATTTGCCATTGTCCCCCCGAAACTGCCATCCATGAAACGGGCACTCTATGCAGCTTCCCACCACCTGTCCTCCCACAGCCAGGTTGGCACCCAGGTGAGGGCAGTAGGCATCCAGCACATAGGCCTTTCCATTTTGGCCCCGAAACACTGCCACCTGCTCACCTAGGATGATTAATTACAGCAGGGACAAACACTTTCATTAATGAGCCGCCACTCAGGAATACACTGTAATGTAATGAAATGTAGGATGTGAAGTTACACGTGACATTTGGGGATTTAAGTATAAAAAAACAGCTTGATAGTTTTCACTTAAATACTCAAAATGAATTATACTGAATCAGTGTGGTTGTGTCTCTCTGTAGTGAAGTGGTAGAATGGGATTTTAGCACTTTTGAAATTATTCTAATGGATCTAAAGTTTTTGTTTGCAGAAAATTAGACATTTACAATCAAAACTGATTCAGTATGTGTATAGGCGGGTTGGTGTGTGTGGCTGTGTCTGTTTTACTACTACCATGGTGGGTAAGTGGAACAGAAATGTTCAAATTCTCAAATGATTTTGCAAAGGATAAGCAGCAAAAGTATCAAGTCACTGCTTTAGGTGGTTACACCTGGCCTTCTCTGATTCGGTTCCAGTTATAGATTATAGTACAAAGTTGACCCTTTGGATGGTGCATGTTCGGACTGAATCTATGTCCAGTCTGACACTACATGTAGAGACCTACTTTTTCTGCTATATTTGGCTTGACTTTTAGCTGACCAATACATTGCTCCCAGATTAGCACAGGATGAGTGAGAGCGACCGCGGAGCCAGCAGTGCGTAGTCAGAGTGCTCTCCATTAAAATACGGAGAAATCCAAAATAAGGCGTATCCAAATGAGGGGTGACACAGCACTGCACTGCTGCCCCCAGACTGTTCTAGGGCAGAACAGAAGCACAGCGCAACGTGTGAGAGCAGCACAGGGGAAAAGACACACGAGGCAGAATTTGATATGATGTAAATGGATGACAGAGGAGAAAAGTTAGGAGTCAGACGTTGCATTCACTCACAGCAGGATGCAGATCCTGAAGGTCACCAAGTTTAGATTTGGATCAACAGAATATGGGTCAGTTAAATATCAGGGGGCTGGAGGGAGAACATGTGCTGAGAGGGAGAGAAAGGAGACCAGAGGGATTTGTAAGAAAAATACAAGTCTGTCATATCTACTGTATATTACGCATTATGGACAGAAACGCATTCAAGTTCTCTGGGTCTGTAAATGTATTGTTTTCCAATATAGTATACCCCTGTGGTTTTTTGGCAGTCCCTCATCCCCACTGGTCTACATCACACTTTGTGTCTAAGAACTTTAATAACCTTCTTATTGAAGAACTTATTGTGGTGGCCATTTGTCACGATTGTTAAAATATTTTACTAAATAAATGATTCATCGTTTAATTGGAAAAAAATAGTTGAAAGATGAATTGAGGATAAAAAATAATCTGTATGCTGAAGCACTCTGCACTCTTTTACTGGTGGATCTTTTTCAGGTATAAAACCTTTCATATACTTTTTGTTTATTTATGGCAGGTGATGTGACAGAAACATGAAAGCCCCACACACTCTTTGAAACCTTTTTGAACTCAAACTCAAAGAAACTCTCTGAAGAGATCAAACAGTCTCGCCGGATATCAACGCGAGAGTAACAGAAGTAAAATGTGAAACACGTATTGGTTTTAGATCACGTCCCTCGACGAAAATATGCCCGAAACAAAATGCATATCAGTGTGTGAAATGAATGTGAATGTTGTATCAGAGCTTCCGCATATCAAACATCACAGAGACGTAAACATGGCATATCAAAAGCTATCATATATAGCAGATCAGATCACTATAAACAAAGAGCTCAGCTAAATTAAAATTGATCATGAGAGACTTTGTAATGTACTCAAATTGATTTGATTTTAATGAGATGATGATGTTTAACCTTTGGCTATGAATCGGAGCTGGTTGAGATGAAGAAAATAATGGTTAGATGCAGTTTCACTGTCATTATGCAATGATTCAATCCATATGTGTGACCACAACGTCGGCCTCCATGGCACCTTCAAATCAAACAAGCCGTTTAAAGCTTGATTGAGCTGAAACAATGAGGTTTTGTTCAAACAGAAAGCGTTACTAAGCACCCTAATCCCTAAACTACTCTGACAAAGACAGGAGGCCATTGTGTCACACATGTATAAAATACCAAAAAAACAACAACTTTGTAATACGAGCTTGTCTCTTCTATGCTGGCAATGTAGCCTCACTACACTCCTACCTGAGACAGGACAATAGAGACAGGTGAACTCATGAATATCAGGGTTGTAGAAAGGGCATCAGTGGATATTAACACCTTCAAGGGATAATCAGATGTGAATTATCTGATTTGAATTTGTGAATTACACCTCCTACAATGTAGGAACTGAATCATAATGTATTTATACTTAAGATTATTTACAAAATGATGCATTAACAGAGTTAGATGTGAATGTAATGACAACTGAAAAATAATTTTGAGTGTTTGTTTGAGTAAAACATTTAACCTCATGTGCATTTTGTGTGACATTTTACATGTATACATGACTACAATACAGTTACATTTAATCATGAACTTTAACAGCTGATTCAAATAAGTTAGAAGTCACTTATGCCTGCTACCATCTTAAAAACACAGCAAAAACTGGAGAAACTCTGACTGTCGTTTACCTCTTGGGTCATCTGGAGCTGAACCACAGCAAAAAGAACCCCTATGGTCAGGGGCAGTTGAGGACGAGAAACCCCTGGGTACCTCAGTTTTTCATTTATATTCTTAGTTTAATTTATATTTTTTGGCTACTTTTCAAAACAAAAAGATAACTTCTTCTTTCTTCTTATACTTACTTCTACTTACACTTTAATGCAACCACCACTAACTTATTTATCATACCTAGAACAGAGACACTTTTGACCTCGCCCCTCTCCAGCAGGTGTGAGTCCAGCACCCGGTACCAGCCGTTTGGATACACCGGTGGCAGCTCTCCGGTCTTCCTCCTGCGGCGGACCTCGTTGGCCGCCTGAGCTTTGGAGCGACCGTCCTCGGCGATGTATCCCACTTCATGGGGCGTCCTAAGGAGCTCCAGGGGGGAGAAGAGCAGCCTGTACAGCCAACCCACGGCGAGGACGGAAGCTCCGGCGACGGTGCAGACCACAGCCCACGCTAGGACACCGGGCAGCCCCGTCCCCCTCCATATCGGGTACCCGCTGCCCGCTGAGTCCGGCGCGTCTCTGCCTGGAAACACAAGGATCGCACCTACTCCCAACCCAATAATAGCAGCTACCTTCCCAGTGAACATGTTCGGACTGTGCATCCTGACTCTCTGGTGTCCCGGTCTTGGAGACAAGATGCGCCACTTTGTGAAAGCCACACCCAGGGCCGGCCCTGAGCAGATGTTTATTTGGGGGCCCCCTCTTTGCAGTTATCAGCCCACCTGGATCTACCCATTTATATTGCATTAGATCAGATACACCGATGAGCAAATGGTTTCAAAATAAAAGCATTACGTTTGTCTGGCCTTCTTTAAGGGTGCTCCTTACTGGCCTCATCAGACTCCTAAGTACAACTGATTCAATCATTTAACACAATGGTCTGATTTACTCCCCCATCAAACCCAAACAATAAATGATTTAATTAATTTAATAACAAGTTATGCACTCTATCAAACATATATATTTAGGTCACTTTTCCCAGAATTCCTTCAATGTTCAGCAACAGGGCCCTGTACTCGGTTGGGTTGACTTTAAACAATAACTCTCTTTTCTCAAAATGTTTAAATTTTAATTAAAAACTAAGGTTGGGTCATATAAACATTTAGTTTAATGCTACCCTGCACTTGGGTCAAAGCAACCCAGTGCGTATCCTATCCCATGCATAATTAACCATAGTCAACCATAGTAGTCCCAAAGGTGCTGGATGGGGTTGAGATCAGGGCACTCTACAGGCCAATCAAATTGCTCCACACCAAACAGGGGAAATCATTTCTTCACTTTGGAGTTGCATTTTTTGCACAGGGGCATTGCACAGCTGCAACACTGTCGTCTGAAAATATTTGAAACCATGAAAAACAGGCCATATATGTTATATAGTATGTAATGATAGTGTAACAAGGCAAAGTCAATTAGAGACATTATTATTATTATTATTATTATTATTATTATTATTATTATCATTATTAATAACTAGAACAGGACAAGGTGAATAATTATGCGTCACTGAAGCCTTGCACCCACAAAGACAGCATCAACAGTTACAGTTACTAAGCAACAGCTGCTATTATTGTGTGTAATATGAAGTCCCTCAGTTCCTCATATGCATTATATTTATTAGCTCATATTTGTATTTCAATTTCAGTTTTGTATTTAATTTATAATGTGTGGTCCAATCCAACAGACGGGCTACTGTAGCTCAGACTGCTGAAACAGTTAATGCTGGTTCTGATAGAAAGGTGTCAGAACACAGTGCAGAGCAGTTTGTTGGTATGGGGCTGCAGAACATTTGGACCACCAGGGTGCTCAGGTGCTCACAATGGTATGGCTGATTGGTGTATATTGCACATTGTTTGGTTCTGGGCTACTTTAGAAACATGGCAGTTCAACATGGCCGTCTCAATGGAGGGCAACACATAGCATCTGTAGATAAAAGCAGCTCATTCTAAGGTAAAGAAAACACAACGATCCTTAATTTCAGGTGATTATACACTAATGAAAAGTTACCTATGAATATTTCAGCCAGTAGAATCCCCCCTGTTACACACTGGACCTTTAAGGCCCTACATCTTGGTAGGATTATTATTATTATTATTATATATTGTATTATTATGGGTGTGGACAGACTGTGCTTGATTGAAATTTCCTTCACCCTCCAGTCTTTTAAGACTTCTCATTTATCAGTGATAAGGTCCATTCTGGTGACTTCTCATAATAATGATTCTGCTTTGATGAAGAACATAAAGACGACTCACACAGTGAACTACTGTAGTCACTATAGTTCTCTCTCTTTCTAACTAACTGTTAGTTAGCAAGCTCGTCAGTTTGGTCACTATACAGGACAATAACTTCACTCAGTGAATTCCTACAGTTTGTATATCGTCGCATAACAGACTGAAACTCTTGCGTCATTATAGCAGCTTATACTCTCTACCTCTCCGTTCCCTCAAAGGTCAGTACTGTCAGGACAATGTGCATGTCAAAGTTCATCAACATTTACCTCAGTGTTAAGAGTTCACATTTATTAATTTTGCCCCCACAAGAAAATCCACTAATTGTGGTGATTCCATTGTAATGAATTCATTTCACTGTGAAAGTTTGCTAAATTTACTCTAGCTGAACATCACTCTCAGTGTCACTGATGACAATGATACACATGATGGCCGCAGTGTGTTTAAAAGGTCTTCAGATGAGGTGGGATGTGATGGAGGGGTGAGGTTGCGCCAAGTCTTTTCATTTTTTAATTATAAATACTCACAAAGATGTTCTTTCTGACTCTGTTTTTCATTAAATAGCCCCTCCTGGATTAAGACATATATACAAATAATCTCATTGGAACAATAATGTGTTTGATATGTTTTTTCCACAAAATAGTATGATTTCCATGTTAAAACCTTTCAAAAGACATCTACTCCTTCTTCTTGATTAAAAATCACAGAATCTTTGAATATGCAAATCCTTTTTATATTTAAAGATTTCCTGTTGGACACAAGATGTTATTTTCAGTGTATGTGCACTGGTGGCTTCAAGTTTCTACATCACACTTGTATAAGTTGCATACCGGACCAAGTCCATTATTGTGTGGGTCGGGACTTTAAACATACCACTTTAGGTAGACAGATTTCTTTTAAAATCCGTCTACCTACCTTTGAGGTTTATTGCACACACTCTTTTTATTTGTATAGTTGGTGGGGTTTTTTTCAAGTAAACATCCATCACTGGGCATCTGCGACAGCATGTGATGGGAGGCTGGGGAGGGTGCTGGTCCAAAGACGAACAAACTGCGGCCTTATTTCCTGCCCAATGGAGCTCTCATTCATCTTAGCATTAAGGTCCACGAACTGGTGTTGAATGCTGGTAAATTCAGGCCAGGTTACAGGAACCTTCAGGTTCCCGGTGTTGGGGTCTCTGTGAAAATAAGCAGAGGAAGAAACACTTGTGAAAGGATGCATCAGTTCTGTAGTAAAATAATCCTCACGCTGTAAAAATGTTACAGTGTTGAACATGCAAAGTGTGTTTTACCCAGTTCTGGCGAAGTTAGTCCAGTAAGCAATCAGATAGCCAGACAGGTCTCTGTGTCTGTCTCCATAGGCCTTTGGTGTGGTGAAGGGTTTGCCAAACACATACTGCAAGTCATCAGCGTGGTCAGCTCCCACCCAGTCATGGTAGGGTTTGCCTGGTCCAGCCAATAAACTGGGCTCAGACAGCAGGTAGGAGTAGGTACGACCAGACCTGTGAAACACCATCACAGTGTCTGTATCTGTCCGGCATCACTATTGTCAACAATCTGATCATGCCCTTAAAGGTCCAATGTACAACATTAAGGAGAATTTATTGATATTCATAGGTATGTTTTCATTAGTGTATAATCACCTGAATATAGGAATCGTTGTGTTTTCATTACCTTAGAATGAGCCTTTTATATATACAGACACTGTGGGTTGCCATGTTGAACCACCATGTTTCTACAGTAGCCCAGAAAGGACAAACCATCCTTTCGACCACCGTAGTTTCTCCTTTGCGCAACTATACCTCTAGATACTATTAAATCCTGCACATTGGACCTTTAACTTCCAAAGGCAAGACACCTGCACCAGCAACTCAAAGACATTTTAAAGCAAAAGAAACAAGCAGTTGTTGGCCTCACCTGGCATTAGCAGCATGCAGATAAATAGTAGTCTGTGCAGGAACCAGGAACATGTAGTCAGTCCCAATGTCCACAGCAGTTCTCTTAATGGTGTTCTGGCTGGGTGCTGATCCCCAGTCAGATGAGTATTCAGCAAAGGCGATCTCTAAACCAGCTTGCCCCTTCTCTTTGGTATAAGCAGCAAGGAGTCTCTTTACATCTTCTCTGCAGTGAAAATAAGGTAGAGAGCTCTGTTAGTGTTTTTATTGGCTTCCAACTTTCTTGTCTTGCTTTTCATGGTTGAACATTTAAAGCCCACAAAACAAAACGCCTTCTCTCTGAAGAGAAATCAGCCTTACACAGGAGTCTCTTCATTCTTGTTACCAAGTGAAGGAATGTCCATTGAGGTGAACACGTGTCCGTCCATGTCATTAACCCCTGCAAGGTAGTCGATGTCAGCAGCGTTGTGGAACAAGTTGGCAGGCTGATCCGGGAGAAAGTCTCCATCAACAACGGCAGACAGAAGCATGTTTTCCACACCAGGATCTGAGATAAATCAACACAGAATTATTAAGGTTACGGCTAACTATAAAGTAATCCACTAGATCTTTTAAAATATATTTGTCCTTTGACAGAAACTAATGCTTACGGTCTGGGGAGCCTTGTGGGCGGCTGGGAACAGCCATGGTGAGAGTCACAGCATCAGTTGATTTCAGACAGGCCACCATTCTGTCATCAGTGGGGCAGCCGACCTTCACAGCAACCTGTTATAAAGCAGGTTTTAAGTAGAATGGCAGAATTCCTGTTCTCGGTTAAATGTTCAAATATGTGCTTCAGTCCCCCATTGATAATACATGTGAAAGTAAACTATAGGAAATATTTATCATGTATTCACTTAACTTCACTTTTGTATTTGTTTCTGTTCTTACTAGATGCCTTTGTAACTACATTGATCCAATAGTGCTCTCAGGATACTGTATGTAAGGGGTCTTCCAGAAACGTGGAAAAAGAGATCCTATCCCAGTGACCAGCTCCGCTGACCTTTTGTCACAATGTGTTGAACTCTGACTCTTGCTAGAATTTTTGGCATCCTAAGCTTGGTATACTATTTCATCTCATCTCTGGCTTTTAGTATAAGGCAGCCTACTGTAAGCTGCTTTTCCAATAATTGGAGGAAAAGTGCATTAATTCCTCTTCCTGTGCTTGTTTGTTCCTGTAAATCATATGCTCTTATTCAAGAAAAATATTTGTATTCAGTGAGACATCACTGACATCTCATCTTACTCTTATAGGTTGTGTGAATGCAGTTAAAATGGTGTCACTCACCTGATTTATGTATTTGTTTCAAAATATTTATATAATTCTTGACTCACTAATAATACCATTATATCTCCAAGACTCCCCCACAGAAGCCCAGGAAACTGGGGGGTTATCCCATCCAGTGTTCCAATTTTATTATTACATAGCTAATGCCAGAGCCCTAATTTATAGGCAAGATCAGTTTCTTCAAACGTGAAGCTCTCTGATACACCCAAGTGGCTGAAATTGGAGTCTCGTGCAGTGAGAAACAATTCTCTTGCAGCCCTTCTGTTTTCCACAAAGGAGCCTCCATTGCATCTGTTGGGAGATAGTTTTGTCCGGCAGAATTCTATAAAACATTTAAACCAATTTAAAAGGGTGTTCCAAGCACCTGAATTTTTACTATTTGTTTCAAACATACTTACTGGAAGGATAAAGGTGTGACAACCATCACAGACTTGTACATAAATACTAGAGATCATTTTCCATCTTGGAATCAAATGTTTAAATTTTTAAATCATATTATTTACATAAATCATCCTATAAAGTTAAAATTAGGGCTTTTTTTGTGACAGCAGGCGCCATCTGCACAACAACTGACAAGCACATACCTCCTCTGCAACCTGTTGTGGGTTCTTGTATAGAGCCCAGGGGCACAGGGCTACACCGCTCTGAGTGATGGCCCTCTTGATCAGCCCTTTGTTGTGGGGCGAGAGAGTCTGTGTAGGAATACATTCACATAATACAAAAGTATTACTTGTGGTTATGATTTTTTGCAGGGCTTCGGTAATGAAAAAATGAATGAAATAGCACTCTTCAGGCCTTAACCTTGCCACTTATGACTGAAAAGTCAAACGTGTTGTTGTGCTGGCAAGTTTTATAAGGAATACTTTGTAAGGAGTTCGTAAGTTGTAACTAATGTTTTAATTTAAAGTTAGTAAAAAACTAACAAATATTATTAATATATTATATATCATAACTCTTAAATGGTTCTTATTAATGCATTATTTCTTACCTACATAGTCTTAATGAAATATTTTAGTACAAGCATTAATAAAGCTGTTAGTAGTAGTTCCATGCCTGATTAGAAGGTGGTACTGTGTTTATGCTAAAGCCTCTCACCTGGAAGCTGACACTAGCTCCACCTGCAGACTCTCCAAAGATGGTGATGTTGTCAGGGTCTCCTCCAAATGAGCGAATGTTCCTGTGCACCCAGGCGATGGCGGTGTGCTGGTCCCACAGACCATAGTTTCCTGTCACAGAGACATTTTTTGCCTGCTGACACATCTTGGCTTGACTTTAAAGCTGGTTTTAAATACTACCACACTTTATCACAGTAAGTGAATGCAAAGAACACAGTGCAGGCTGAGCTAAGAGAACTTGCTACTGTACAGGATTTCTCCTGTTTCAGCCATTTCTCATTATGAAGTGCCCCTACCAGGTAAGCGAGAGTCCCCTGTACTGAGGAAGCCCAGTGTTCCCACACGATATCCCACGGTCACCACAATAACACTGCCCTTGTCTGCAATTTCCTGACCACTGTACAGATAGTTGTTGAGAAAATTTGGCCCCATAGACCCGCCGGACATGAAGGCTCCTCCATAGAACCAAATCATGACGGGAAGATCTGATGACACTTGGGGTGAAAATGAGAATAATTTGTTATTTTACAAGGAAGCACATCTTCTGTATCAATAAATCAATCAATTAATATACTGCATAAAGCTACCATGTTGGCCATGAGGAACCCAGATGTTAAGGTGGAGGCAGTCTTCACTACCAAAACTTGATGTCTGGCGCATGTTCATCTGAAGACATCTCTTAGCAAACTTTGTTGCCTTCAGTACGCCTGTGGATAAATTGATCATTTATTATCAGGGATGAAGGGATGATTTGCAGTATAAGTGAGATTTCTAAGCTGCTGTTTACGCACCATCCCAGCCAGGATGAGGTTTAGGTTTCTCAAATTTTCCAGGCTTGGCAGCAAAGGGAATTCCTTTGAAAACATCTACGGAGCGGGAAAGACAGAGGGGGATATTTTGTCCCTGAACGCTGCCACCTTCGGTTTGTACAACGCCCAGCTAGAGACAAAGTCAAACATGAGCTTTCAACTTTAGTGACAGTATAAAACAGTAAAGTACATAAACGGTGACATTGTAAAAAATAGAGATTAACATCATAGTGCACACTGTACTGTCCTGTACGCAGAATGTGCTCTGAGTAATTACATTAATATAACATTGTTAGAATTTCCTTATTTTTGCAAAAGCTAAACCACAAATGTTACATTTCCAGTTAATAATTTGCAATCGCAGAAAATTGACAGAGGTGAAGTAAACTCGTTATAAGTGAAGGCAGACACCATTATAACAATTACCACATTCCAACAGAAACATAGATTTAATATTTTAGCACAGTATTATTCAAATCCCAAAGAGCAGATTAATTACTTCATTCTTATAGCCTTACAGAAGCTGCTGAGGCCGTCCCAAGAGACAAGACGACAGCAAACAGAATCTTCAGTTTCTCCATGGCTGTCCATAAACCAGTTTAGTCCTCCACCAGTGCTTATATACATGAGACCCCCTGCAAGAGAATAAAAGGTAAATAAAGCAGTTTGCTGTTGTTATACAACCTCTACACCCATTCCGTCACCCTGTGATCCAACTGACCATGATTTGACCTCTAAACCTGTGATGGGAACTAGCCTGGTGTGAACCTTGCAAACTGAATCAGCATATTCCAAACAGGATATTATGTTGAGTCTGAATACTTCAATGTTTCTGAGCCACTAGTCAGTAGAGACTAATCCTATGGTCTTTGGACTTTGTTCCACATCTTTCCATTATGATATTTCATTATTTTGTTCTCTTCTTTGATATTAGGAGTCAAATGTTATTGAAGACACATTAACACATGGAAGAGAGAAAAGCCTCGTAAAGTGGGTTATGGAGTAAATGCTGCTGTTGACTAACAGAAACAGGTGGACTGACTCTCAGATTGGCAAAGACCACATGGTTTGAGATAAGATAAAACATCCAAAATAACCCCTCGCATCTGAAGTGCTGCTATTGGTTTAAAATGTGTTTGAACTTTAGTATTTTGTTCATGCTAGAGATTAAGAGAGACCAAATTATTTACAAGCCTTCCTGCCACAACAGACACTCCTCTGTCTACATTATAAACACTGCAGTGACAATATAGAACATATTACAAAAGAATTTAGGGTATATTTTAATTTAATGCAGAGCTATTCAACTGCTACAGTGTATGCAGATGTGTTATATAGGAAGAAAACTAAATATAATAAAGAAATAAATATTAGACCTGATTATCTATCATCAGATACTCATTATTAAAGGATTCAGATCAAAACCATCGTTGGGACATCTTTAATTTTAGTCACATTGACCTCTGTAAGTAATATGCACAACCAAATTCATTGATGTTATACAAGTGCTGAGTCAAATTCTATCTATTGAAAATGAATAATTGTTAGTTTTTGTTGTAATAAATAAACCTGAATGGGAGTGTGTGCCTCTTATTATTAGGGTCTTGATGTATTGTTCTGTAATCATCAGTTTAAGTGATTAATAACAACAGTATTATAACTGGTTGCCGATTAGTTCCTTTATGCTGTTTCACATTATTCTACAAGGAATACAGCGCAGATTGGCAGAAAAATCTAATTTCTCACACTTGGAACCGAGAACATGACCACAGTACAAAAAAATACAGAAACATATTGGTTGTTTCAGAAAAAAACAAAACAAAACAAAACATTAGGGCTTTTCAGTGTACTCGACCTATTTTCCTATGAGTTTCTGAATACATAATGCTGAACAAATTTGGAAGGAACAAATAATTTGTATATATTATTTAACTTGATTTTAATTAGCTTTTGCAGATTATTGTGTTTGGATTCAGGATCAGCCTAATGCCAAATCCTAAACCTCCACAGCTGGTGTAAGAGGAAGGGTTAGAGGTCACTAAAGTTAGCACATTATATCCTCTTTTATTCCTCATTTTCATATGTACTGAACAAAATTATAAACACTTTTGTTTTTGCCCCCATTCATCATGAGCTGAACTCAAAGATCTAACACTTTCTCTATGTACACAAAAGACCTATTTCTCTAAAATATTGTTCACAAATCTGTCAAAATCTGTGTTAGTGAGCACTTCTCCTTTGCCGAGATAATCCATTCACCTCACAGGTGTGGCATATCAAGATGCTGATCAGACAGCATGGGTATTGCACAGATGTGCCTTAGGCTGGCCACAATAAAAGGCCACTCGAAAATGTGCAGTTCAATCACACAGCACAATGCCACAGATGTCATGTTTTTTGTCAAGTTTTGAGGGAGCGTGCAATTGGCATGCTGACTGCAAGAATGTCCACCAGAGCTGTTGCCCGTGAATTGAATGTTCATTTCTCTACCATAAACCGTCTCCAAAGGCGTTTCAGAGAATTTGGCAGTACATCCAACCGGCCTCACAACCACAGACCACGTGTAACCACACCAGCCCAGGACCTCCACATCCAGCATCTTCACCTCCAAGAGCGTCTGAGACCAGCCACCCGGACAGCTGCGGCAACAATCGGTTTGCATAACCAAAGAATTTGGCGTTGGAAAGGTGTTCTCTTCACGGATGAATCCCGGTTTCACTGTACAGGGCAGATGGCAGACAGCGTGTATGGCGTTGTGTGGGTCAGCGGTTTGCTGATGTCAATGCTGTGGATCGAGTGGCCCATGGTGGTGGTGGGGTTATGGTATGGGCAGGCGTGTGTTATGGACAACGAACACAGGTGCATTTTATTGATGGCATTTTGAATGCAGAGATACCGTGATGAGATCCTGAGGCCCATTGTTGTGCCATCACCTCATGTTGCAGCATGATAATGCACGGCCCCATCCCCAAGGATCTGTACACAATTCCTGGAAGCTGAAAACATCCCAGTTCTTGCATGACCAGCACACTCACCGGACATGTCACCCATTGAGCATGTTTGGGATGCTCTGGATCGGCGTATACGACAGCGTGTTCCAGGTCCTGTCAATATCCAGCAACTTCACACAGCCATTGAATAGGAGTGGACCAACATTCCACAGGCCACAATCAACAACCTGATCAACTCTATGCGAAGAAGATGTGTTGCACTGCGTGAGGCACATGGTAGTCACACCAGATACTGACTTGTTTCCGGACCCCCAATACAGTGAAACTGCACATTTTCGAGTGGCCTTTTATTGTGGCCAGCCTAAGGCACACCTGTGCAATACCCATGCTGTCTGATCAGCATCTTGATATGCCACACCTGTGAGGTGGATGGATTATCTCGGCCAAAGGAGAAGTGCTCACTAACACAGATTTTGACAGATTTGTGAACAGTATTTGAGAGAAATGGGCCTTTTGTGTACATAGAGAAAGTCTTAGATCTTTGAGTTCAGCTCATGATGAATGGGGGAAAAAACAAAAGTGTTGCGTTTATAATTTTGTTCAGTGTACAAAACATGACATTTCCCCCTCCTCTCTTTGATGATGTAGGTTTTATTGGTATGCTATTAACTAGTGGACAGTTAGCAGCCTCGCTATGCTGTCTCTTAACATTTGTTGCTATGCTAGCTGTCTGTCCCTATCCACTTATTTGACCTCATCAATTGAAAACTAGACTTTTGTTAAATTCCTGTTCCTCGTATTAAAAATATGAGGAATGGGAGAAAACAGCCAACCCAGGATGGAAGCAGGCCAGGAAAAATAAGACTGGTTAAAACTGCAACCTACAACGCACATACTTTTTGCACAGCTATTAATATTTAATTTCTACATGTACAGTTTAGTTTTAATCAAGCTGCTCAAATATTTACACACTATTCCTACTTGAATATTGCATAGTGTATATACTTTCATTTATAGTTATATTTAGGGACCGAGCCAGTGTCAAACACTGTGAGGTCCCTCTTGTATTCCTAGGAATTATTATTATTATTTATTCCGGAGGTGACTGCATATTTGGCGGCCACAATGTGCATGAATGATCATGGGAATTTTCACAAAATTCAATTGTTCGCCCACTCCAAGTATGCAATTGTCCCTGTGCACGGGCGCCACTAAATGCCGGAGCCCCGCCCCCCCGAATCAGCCCCCAAGATCTGTAAGGCCGACATGTACGAAAACCGGTATGCATGTGTATCGTGATAAAAGAAGCAGAAAAGCCTCTTGGACCAATACCTCAAACCCAACAGGAAGTCGGCCATTTTTGATTTTTGATTTCTGGCGATTTTCGCCGTTGCATTGCATGCAGGGAATTTATCGGATTGACTCCACACTTGGACACAGCCATCTAAAGACATTCACGTTTAAAAGTTGCGCTATTTACGACATTCTGTCGAACAGCGTGGACATGGCGTGGTGTCCCGTGGCGTCCAATTTCGATCCTTCGCCATGAAAACAGAAAGTTGTCATAACTTCTGCGTACATGATCCAATCGCAACGAAACTTCACATGTTTGATAAGAGTCCCGCCCTCTTGAATGGTATATTAAAAGCTGAAAGTATCACATAGTAACATCCTAAAGAAATCCAAAGAATATAATAATAATTATCTTTAAAAAAAACACATCTTACAGCTCTGTAATTCCACCTAACGACTGCACACCTGCACGACCAGAGTGCTGTTTACAGATTTTGTGGTTGCTGTGTAAGCAGCTGAAGGACATTTACTTTTTTTTTGTGTAACTGTGATATATCCTTACCTGTCCCTTTCTCCTCTGAGAAACCTTGCTACGTAAACATATAAACACCCTTTTTATTTGCCAGGCTGAAACCTGTGGAGCAGCTTTCACCGATGCTGACTCCAGGCGACTGTGAAGCAAAGTTTGAGAGGAAGAAACCGCAGCCCAGCCACATACGTACGCAGTCTGATATACACCAAACTTTATACACGTTTATGCACTTTTTAAATGCCTAATTAAGCAAATATCTGTGGTTTGTTTTCCAGTTATCAAAGCCAAATACACAGTATCATAAGTTAGTTAAGTTTAACATATTGCACACCTCAATTAACCTATTTGTACATTAAAATGTACATTAGACTAAATGCAGCATTGTACAAAGTGTTCTGTTCTACCATCAAGATATAGTTCAAACACTTCACATTTTGACATTTTGATTTTGATTTTGGTGAATGTGAAGACGTTTCTTCTTTCCTAGATAAAGTTACAGGGGGAGACACATTCTCTGAGGCTGAATTTTAAATCTGCCACAAATGGTATCCTTCTTACATTTGATTAATTGTTCTTTAAACATTTGATTGTACAATAACAAAATATCTCAACCATATATGCAGGAATAGCATTTTTATATATATATATATTTTTTTAAAGTCTGTCAAAGATGGTTCAGACAGACTTTTAGGTGAACCGGAGTCCCCGGGGAAAACCAAGAAATGCATTCAGATTTTTTGTGCATTTTCTTCATGTCATGTGCCTCTGTTGGATGTTGATAGAAGTGTTCTGGTGGTAGTATTACTATGCGCTGATGTTGATTGCGTAAGTTTTTTTAAAAGTCTGTCAAAGATGTTTTTTAGACAGACTTT